ATTTAGGTTGTCCATTTAAAATGTATATTCCTAACCGGATAAATATGGCTTGTAAATAGTCACCATTTGTGATGCAAGAACATCTTGTATGTGTTCATATTACATTCCTATGCAATACGTTCTGAAGCTCATTAAAGAAATCCATGAAACAAACAGAAACTTCACTATGGATTACACTGGTTAACAAAATTTTAACTTTTTTTGTCTCACAAAAACATCAAATTTTGAATGTACTAGAGCCACCAAACAATAATATGTGAATAAAAAATCTGATGTGTCCAACACATGACTTTCCTATCTAGTTATTACAGGCTTTTTCCGTTTATTGTGTACAACCTATTGCAGCATCTCTATAAATGTTTAGAGGATAAACTAAATATATATACATTGTCCACATACATCTACCGCGAAACATTTTTCTATAGATATTCATTGAAAATGAAAATACTGAAAAATTTAAATTTAGCACTTTTCCTACAATTTTTCCATTACGGTCCATTTAAAAAAAAATCATGTATGAACAAATATTATAGAGATCGATATCGCAAACAACTTTTATTTCAACAATTTTCATAAAAATCAGAATTTTGCACATTTTGTCAAATTTCTCGAATACGGACCATTTCAGGAAATTTTTACATAAGGAAAAAATTATAGATAATAATATTAGAAGTAACTTTTATTTGAACAATTTTCTTCTCCAAATATAAATAACAGATATATTCCATAAAATATATAAACGGCCTCCCATAAAGTACCCCCCCAGATGTTCCGACTTTGTCCAAAATCTAATCATTTCACGTCAGGCCGAAATAAAACTTAAGTTTAAAATTTATTGATTTTTTTCTTTATCCGTTTTTGAGTTTTCTTCAAATTTCGAAATTTACACATTTTCTCAAATATCTCGAATACGGTCCATTTTAGAGAAATTATCTATGGAACAAAAATTATAGAGAATTATATTACAAACAACTTTTGTTTGAACAATTTTTATAAAAAAAAATATTTTTTTACATTTTGTCAAATTTCTCGAATACGGACCAATTTAGGAAAATTTTGTAAAAGACAAAAATTATAGATAATAAAATAAGAAGTAACTTTTATTTAAAAAATTTTCTTCCCCAAACGTAAATAACAGATATATTCCATAAAATATAAAAATGACCACCTATAAAGTACCCCCCCAGATGTTACGACTCTGCCCAAAATCTAATCAGCTCATTAGACGCTGGAATAAAGCTTAAGTTTGAAATTTGGTGTTTTTCCGTGTATCGGTTCATGAGTTATGCGTTATACACACACACACGCACACGCACACGCACACGCACACGCACACCCACACACGCATGCACACACACACACGCACGCACGCACGCACACACACACACACACACACACACACACAGAGACATCATCGCGAAAATAGTCAAAACGGATTCAGGGGACCTCAAAACGTAAAAATCCGTCGAAAACTCGAGGTCGAAAAAAATCATGATTCCTATACTTTCCTTATATCTGTATACAGATAGGAAAGTAAAAAAAATTGACACATCAGGTTTCCTTGTGACATTAAAACATATATTTTTGTAAAAAGTACAGCTACATTTAGAGAAATTGCTTAATATAGAATAATAATTTTCGTGAATATTTGGCTTCTGGAAGGTCTTTTTTAAGTTTCCAACAATAATCTGGTAGCATTTCTAGACTCGATTTCCTTTGATAGCGCTTCTCCAATAAGGAAATGTCCTAATGGAACCTCTCGCCTTGTTCGTCACTCACAGCACCCAAATTTGCCGGAAATAAATCCACATGAGAGTCCAGCATATGTATTTTTAAAGACATATTACACCCTAAAGCTTTATATGACATTATAAGTTAATTTATTAAGTCTTTGTAATTTTCCGATTTATGTTTCCCTAGAAAATTTTGGACAACGTTCACAACACATTTCCAGGCGAGTTTTTCCTGATCATTCAGTTTTTCTTCAAAGCTCTTATCCTTTATCAGTTGCCGTATTTGTGGACCTACAAATATTCCCTCTTTAATTTTTGCCTCGCTGAGTTAGGGGAATTTCTCTTTCAGATATACAAATCCACTGCCATCTTTAGGCATAGTTTTAACAAAAAAATTTATCAGGCCGAGCTTTATGTGCAACGGTAGTAAAAGAATGTCATCAGGATTCACTTAATGGTAATTTTTAACATTTTTATGGCCTGAATTGAGTGATTTACGCTTAGGATGCACTTTTTTTGCATAGTGATTTTTTCTGTCCCTACTGTCCCATTCGCAAATGAAACAGCAAAATTTTGTATAACCAAGCTGTAGTCCAAGCAAAAGTGCAATGACTTTAAAATCGCCACAAATTTTCCAAGCGTGTTTACTCTATTCAATTTTTTAAGAAGAAATCTTATATTTTCGTGTCTCTTTCATATCAGAACCATAAGCAACCGGCTCTAAAGAACGTTTATTTCCATTATGCAGCAACATTGCTTTCAAACTAATTTTTGAGGAGTCAATGAACATTCGCCAGTGATATGGATCATATTCAAAATTTAATAAATTCATCAAAACAGAAACGTTATTACAATAGACTAAATCACCTGCTTTAGAAAAGTAAAGTTTTATTTCATCGTCACCATGTCGAAAATAAGACAATAGGAGAAAGTAAATTCCAGTCGTTTAATCTAGACCCCAACAGCTCAGCCTGTTTTTTAGACATATTCAAATCACGTACTAAATCGTTTAAATCACTTCGTGTCAATAATTGCGGTTCTTTTGAAGTTGACGGTTCATAACTTGGGTCACTATCTTCAGATACTTTATCGTGCTGACTTAGAACAAGTTCCGGGGTAAAATCCTGACTTTCTCATCGATTTGGAGGCTTTGGCACAGGCAGTTCGGCACTATGTGGGATGGGTCTGTTGGCCAAAGACAAGTTTGGATACTGGACAGTGTGTTTGGACTTGGTTGTAATGCCTTTTGTTTGAGTAAAACAAAAATAAAAATCACTTACATGATCCTTTGGTTCGGTCTAAATCATTGGTATAGCAAATGACATATGTCTGGGTTCTTGTTTAGTCCAACCTAATAGCAGTATCACATACGTTACACATGATTTATGTGAAACCCAGGATTTATCTTGATTCCTCACAGGAAATCCAAAATAATCTAAATACCACTGTTCAATTAATGATGTGAAATTTCGACACTGAGATGTAAAAGTTAATTCTCCACACACAAAAACTTTCGTGGCATGTTTACGATGTAACAAACGTATATAAGATGTAAGTTAGTTGAATGCAATAGTTATAGAGTCGTCTAAATGAAGTTATTCAAAAAAATACACAAAAATCATCACAAAGTTCGTATGACAAAAACAGTATTTACCAGTGAATTGGTTTAGTTCTTACGACGTTACAGAGAAACTATTAAAGAAAAAACTAACAACGGTTGGGACAATGAAGAAAAATAAAGCCGACATTTCAAAACAACTGGTGAAAATTAAAGGATAATCGGTCCATTCTTCTTTATTTGTTTTTGTACCAAAAAAAATAAGGCCGTTGTGTTATTTTCTACCATGCAAGATTAAGTTAACCTTGATAGAGACAAAAAACAGGAAATTATTTTCAAACAAACAAAAGAAGGTGTTGATACGTTCGATCAGCTATGCTATTTAACAACAGTTGCAAGAAAAACTATGCTATGCTTGATACAGTAGGAGTAAACTCGTATGTGATTTACAAAGGCATCTTAAATAAGGCCAAAGTCTAGAAGCGATCCGATTCTTTGGTTGAAGATAATTTGAAAAACAGAGTGAACAATGGTCGGCTACCAAGAGAAATGAGAAGTAATATTCGTAAAATTTTAAATAGCGAGGAAGAAGTCACTACACAAATACCATCAGAGAATTCCCTAGGTAACTAGGTAATTCATTGGTAACTCATGATGTTCGTAAAGGTTTAATCATTTGCCTATTTCTACGGTGTTCGACATCCCCTATCCTGACTGTATAGTCGTTAGGGCCGGATTCTTTTACAATTTTTGCAGAAATCACGAGTACCTTTTTGAACCAAAACTCTTTGATCTAGTATCAATTTTGACAACTACTGGGTAAAATGTTTATAGTAAGTCTCTTGTTTATGTTGTTTATCTTCCAAGGAATGTCTTATCCCTTTCATTGACAAATTGGGTTTTAGAAGAGTTTTCGGGACAGGCAATGTAGTTCTTACTCTTCTGCCCATAAGAAGTCCACTTGATGATGGTAATTGTTCCTTTGCAGTGACGTTGTAATTTAATAATACTAGGAACAGATCTTCGCCATCTTGGTATGCCTTTGCTAATAAACTTTTTACAGTTTGCACTGCTCTTTCTACCATCCCGTTAGATCTAGGGTACGGAGGACTGGAAGTATTGTGTTTTATGTCATATCTTTTAGAAAATTTGGAAAAAATCGTGAGAATTGAAGGGCGGGCCGTTATCCGAAAATATTTCTTGGGGTATTCCATGGTTTGTAAACACATTTTTCAATGAAGAAATAACTGTTTCTCCTCTTTTGTTGGTTTAATTTATTTGCTATAATAAATTTGCTGTAATAATCAATAATAACTATAAAATTCAATGTGCCTAACGATTTAAAATCTATTCCAATTTTTTGTCATGGAAGTTCCGGAACTGGATGAGACTGGAGAAGCTCTCTTGGATTTGTTTTGGAATATTTTTGGCAAAAAACACCCTAAAACAATTATTAATTTTTATATAAAATCCGAATAAAACAAAACTTGTTTCTATTATAAATGTTACTTGGAAATGTTCCTTTTCTTAATGTTTGTCCACTTACAATTTGCACCGAAAATTAGTTTGGATCTTATTTCCCTGGTATTTTAAAATTAAAAAATTATTAATATTTAAAATTTATTCTCAGGTTCACATATCGAATACCTGAATAAAGTATTCCATTTATTATACGAACTATATATAGGCAATAACAAAAGCAACAGCCATTTATTTTTAATTTTTTATTCAGTTTCACCAAATCACAGCAAAATCTATTAAAAAATATGATTTATAAAATTTATTCCAAAATAGAATTTCCCCTTCCTAATCTGGGATAAAATGCCGAACGCCCCAATCGAGGTGCAAACATTGACCTTTGTTCCATTTCAGTAAATTCATCGTCTTCCGATATACCATGCTCATCTTTTGGATTGTAGTTTATTAAACGTTTTCCTGTAAAAATAGATCAAAGTAATTATTTCAAATTAGGCTAATTATGAGATCAAAATACTTAATCAAAAGTTTTTCGAAAAGGTCGCAAAAATTTAACGTATGGCATCAATTAAATTAAATGTTTCCATTTTACATTTTTAACGATAGCGTTAAAAATATAGTCATGAAATATAATAATAAATAATTATAATAAAGTGCTTTATTAATAAAAAAACATGGAAAAAAAATATATGTAAACAAATATTAAAATAAAGCCAAAAATGCCGATAAGTGCCTAGACACTTGTTTCGGTTAAAAATACAAAATATATAAATAAAATGATATAAATCTTACAATTTACAACTTAAATTTAAACATTAAATTTAAATTTTCAACCATTTCCAAACTCCAGAACTAGTTAATTTATAACAAAATTGTATTTTTGTTTATAATTTTGAGAAAAAAATTGCAAAAATGCTACAAACTTGAAGTTCAATGTACAGGGTGAGTCATGAGGAACCTTATAGACTTCTTACCATATGTAGAGTCCTATAGGGGGTATATCATATGAGCAAAAATCTGATGTGTCCAACACATTACTTTCCTATCTAGTTATTATAGGCTTTTTCCGGTTATTTTGTACAACCTATTTATGCAGCACCTCTATAAATGTTTAGAGGATAAACTAAATATATACATTTTCTACATACATCTAACTCGAAACATTTTTCTATAGATATTCATTAAAAACGAAAATACTGAAAAATTTAAATTTAGCACTTTTTCTCCATTTTTTTCAGTTACGGTCCATTTTAGAAAAATCATGTAAAAAAAAATTATAGAGATCGATATCACAAACAACTTTTAGTTTAACAATTTTCTAAAAAATTAGAATTTTGCACATTTTGTCAAATTTCTCGAATACGGACCATTTTAGGAAAATTTAGTACGGAACAAAAAATATTGATAATAATATTGTAAGTAACTTTTATTTAATGAATTTTCTTCTCCAAACGTAAATAACAGATATATTCCATAAAATATAAAAACGGCCTCTAACCGACTTCAAAAAAGGAGGAGGTTATCAATTCGTCGCGATATTTTTTTTTATGTATGTTCAGCGATAATTCTTCAGCACGGTGTCCGATTTCAATAATTCTTTTTTGTTAGAAAGGTGGTATTTAGGGGGTGGTCCCATATAAATTTGGTCAAAATATAATAATTGGGTCTGTGAGAAAATCCTCAAACTCTTCATTTTTTATGTATGTTTAGCGATAATGCTTTACCACCTTGTCCGATTTATATGACTCTTTTTTTTTAGTAAGGGGATGACCTCAGGGGTGGTCCCATATAAATTTGGTTAAGATGTGGTGACGGCATCTGCACGTTTTTGAAGTCAGTTTTTTTTAATTTTTAATTTCTAATACTTGTGAATTATTATTAAATATTTGAAAGGCACTATTGAATTTGGCATACTTTATCAAACCGATCAAGACACTTTGAAAGCTTCTAGTGATTCGGACTATGCTGGAGATATGATCACTAGAAAGTCCACATCAGGTTTTGTTTGTCTACTCCACATACTTTGATTTTCTTTTACTATACGGAGAATGGTCGCACTGCGCAGCTTTCTGAGTGCCTTTTAAAAGGAGATAGAAAACTCCGCCATTTTGAACCCTTATTACGTGTTGCCTACATCTTGGCGCAATATTTTTAATGGGTGCGTTTTAATCATCCACTTCTGCTTCGGAATTGTCGGTTTTCTTGTTTTAATCTGACAGGTTAAAACGACTAAACCGACAATTCCGGAAGCAGAAGCGGATGATTAAAACGAACCTTATATTTTGCTTGCTGCTGTCAGTGTCAGTGAATAATATTTTTGGAGTCACAGTTTATTGCTAAAGAATCAGTTAGCACACTCGGACCAGTTGAAAGTTCCAAAATAACATCCACTCCAGGGATACAAATTCAGGATACGCAGAAGATTGCTGTTTTATTATAGGCGGTTGTCATATATTGTATTATCCGAGTTGCACAGTGTATAAACTGAAACATTGAGATCAAAAGTGCCGACGCAGAGTGAGCGATCTGATTCTTTAGCTGTAAACTGTATCGCAGGGTTCAAAAAGGCCGCGCCCTATGTTGGGCGTGTCGGACCTCTCTCTTGCCTCGTATAGTAATCAAAGTATGTGGTCTACTCAGTCAAGGAGCTGTCAGTTGGTATTGTCAAAAACAGAAATCAGTACCACTATCGACGATGAAAGCAGAGTATATTGCGGGATCTGAAGCAGCAAAAGAAATAATTTGGTTTCGAAGATTACTTAATAAAATTTCAACAAAAATAGAGGACGTGCCCACTCTTAAAATTGACAACGCAAGGCTGTAAAATTAGTTCATGACCCAGAATTCCAACAAGCGTTCAAAACATATCGAAATTCGTTATCTCTTTATCAGAGAGTAGATGTTAGAAGGAATGTTTAAAGTAATTCATATATCTGGAACAGAAAAGATGGTAGATATTATGACAAAGCCGCTTTGTACAAATCAATTTCAGAAACTGAGAGGTTTACTTAAAATAATTAGTCTTCGAAATTAAGTTCAAGGGGAAGTATTGAGAATTGAAGATTATTTTTGAAGATCACAGTAGTTTAAAAAAAAAGTTTTTTTTTATTAACTTTACCTTTAATTTTGTCATACTGATTTTTCAACGTTTAATAAAAATTTGCACATTTTAGTTATTTTCATCTTCTGATTACCACTGCTGAAATATTCTTTTCAAAAAAATCTACAAGGATTACTGGATTTCTCTAATTTTTTGGTGAAATTGTACTCTGATGTTTAAAGTACATAGATAACAATCAAAACTGTGTATGTGACATTTTTGTCACATCTTCGTTAATTTTTTTATTAGGTTTCGATTTTAGGCAAAACTGAAAAATCATCTTAAGGGGACACATAATAATATTAATAATGAAGGGGAGTTCACACTTTTTAATGCTCATATGATATACCCCCTAAAGGACTACATATCGTAGACATCTGTAAGGTTCTTCATGACCCTGTATATATATTTAGAAGTTTTCAACATTGTAGGTTTGCAACTTTTTTGAAAGTCAGCAACATGATTATTTTTTGAAAAATAGCGTTTTAATTCGTAGTATGTTGTAATGATTACCCCCGTAAATGCGTCTCAAAGCAAAATTGTATTTTTTTTTAAATATGAGAGTTTTCACCTTTTCCTATGGGTGTAATTTACATTTTTAACAAATATTACCACACTGTCGTTTAAGAAAGTGGAATTTTAAGAATTTTGTACCCAATACAGACCTGTCGTTTTGTTTTTTTTTTTTAATTAAGATCCAAATACTTAAATAATGAGCAAGGTTATGATATTATGAATTTAAACTCGAAAAGAAAATAGTTAAAAGGAATTTTTTTTTTATTTTATTTCATCTTTTTTCGAAACATTTATATTTGACTCAAATTATTAAGGAGGTCCTTTGGCCACCCCTTTCGCCACCAATCTTAAATAAAAAATATTAGATTATGACTAAAATTTATTTTTTTTCTAAGTCCTTATTTATCTAATGTTGAACTTTTATCTATACCTTAACGTGCAAATTTTTGAGAATTTTTTTTTTTAATATGAGTATTTGTACAGTATCTTACGAAAAAATAAGACCTCAACAACAATTCTCGAATTATATTATTATTTATTGATTAGATGGAGTAGAAAAAAACTAAAAATAGGGTTTTTGAAATATTTAGGTTTTGTTTTTTACAATAAAATATATAGGTTACATTGGAATTTATTGAGAAATTAATATTTAAACAAAATTTGAAGTAACCTAGTTGAACATTTTTTGTGATTTTTTTAATATTAATTTCTCAATAAATTCCACGGTTACCTATATATTTTATTGTAAAAAACAAAACCTAAATACATATTTCAAAAACCTTATTTTTAGTTTTTTCTACTCCATCTAATCAATAAATAATAGTAAAATTAATTATAATTCGAAAATTGTTGTTGAAGTCTTATTTTCTCGTAAGACACTGTACACACACATTTAAAAAAAAAATCCCAAAAATTTGCACGGTAAGGTATAGTTAAAAGTTCACTATTAGATAAATAAGGACTTCTACTATTAGAAAAAAATTAATTTTAGTCATAATCTAATATTTTTTATTTAACATTGGTGGCGAAAGGACCTCCTTAAGTAAGAAAACTGTATGCGGAAATACCATAATCAGTTGGACTAACTCAATTTTTTCTGCTCTTTTCGAATATGTAAACAGATATTCAAAATTAGGATATACAGGGTGTTGTTTTATTTATCGAAAAATTTGTAAATTCTTTGTTAATCTTTACTTGGATTTTCCCTATTATTAATACGTCACTGGATTTGAAAAATTAAGGTGTACTTGTAAATTAAATATCACAAAAATATACAGCGTGTTTTAAAAGTTACGAGCCTAAAAAGAAATCGGCAAAATTGATAAAATACCCTATATAAATAATAATATTAATAGTAATAATAATAATAATAATAAATAAACTTTATTGGGGGTGGGTTGGCTCAGTGGTTAGAATCATGACTTTGAGATCGAAAGGTCTCAGGATCGAATCCCACCGTTGGCCGGAATTTTTTCATTTAATTTAATTATTTAAAACTAATTCTGATGCCTTGGTAGGATTCCCCACTCGACCATTCACTGTTAGGTTCTAATCAACAGTGCTGTTCCTAAAGTGGCGCTGGAAAACAGTAACAAAGCCTACACAGAACACGAGGCTAATGGCCGTAGTAGTCGACGCCGATGACACCAAAATAAAAAAAAAATGAACTCTATTCACCAATTTTCAAAATAAAATAAAATTACAATTTGAAGAGCATAACAATTATTGGTGAAAAGGTGCAAGATCAGTATGAAACTGTTCTTCCTCTTGAACCTATGAATAATAATATTAAAAAATAATAATAATAACAATAATAATAAAAAAAGAAAAGGTAAAAAAACAATACAAAGTCAGTATTTGTATATAAGAAGAAAGAAACGCATTACAATACAAATATAAAAGTGGAAAAAACAAAAAAAAAACAATCCCAGTTAATATAAGGTTACTATTACAATAAAATAAAGTCTTATGCTATGTTGGAACATTGTTTTGAAAATAAGTGTTCTTTAACGTGTTTACTAAAATTAGGTAGTGCCATATGTTTAAGTGTCGATGGTAATTCATTATATAATTTCACAAGAAAGTAAGAGAACGAATTCTGAAATGTTGCTGTATTATGTTGGGGAATTTCAATATTGTATTTATGTCGGAGGTTTATATTATGTGCATCAACTCTGAATAATAATTTTTCGGATAGATATACTGGTTCTTTATTAATTAAAATATTATGCAAGAGACAGAGGCTATGAAGTTTCATTCGATTGTTCATATTATTATCTCGGTTATAAAGGACGACAGACACATAAAGTATAGGTTTTTTGATACCACCTAGGTGACCCCTATACGCCGTTAATAAATGCTCTCTTATCAATGAAACACTCTGTATAACCTAAAAAACATTAAAACAACAACTTCAGGAGAGTGAACTTTTTAGTGATTCTATATCATCACTATCGAAACTTTTAAATAACATTGATTTTAAATACAAGAAAGATGATCCTCCTCGTGGTTTAATGGAGTAACTACATACATGTATCAATTTGTTTTTTGGATAAGATATGGATATTTAAAGATGGACGTTGCTGACGTATGAAGTATAAAGAAAACCAAAGTTGGTGGTGCGGGATTGGTAGTAAAACAATATTAAAAGAGATTAGAAAAAGATTGGGCGGTAGAAGAACCGATAATTTGCGCAATCTCTTGGGGCTAAGATACTTTGGAGTTAATATAACCAGAAAAGATCGGAATCCTGTATCTGCCTGAGCAAGGAACAGGCTACGCATTGTAACATGGATTATAACCGGGACGGATCCTTGTATAAAAAATTATATCTAATATTTCCTAATTATTTTCTTAATTTTATAGTACATACTCATATAATATACATATTTATCTCATACCATTACCATTTCCAAACAGCATAATAGTCCAGGGACTCTTCCTAATAAACTCTAACAAAACTTCCACCTCTTCTTTATCGAAATTCTTATAGCCTTCATCGACAAGGTTCCTTTTTTTCCTTCCTATCCTGGGTCCGAACCAAAGTGGGGCGTACTTATTGGGTTCTTTTTTATCATCTACTTCATTATTCCCCGCACTAACGCAACTTTTAAAATATAGAGTTAAAACAAACAGGACTATAACAGCGAGTGATACTCTCATTGTAATGATATTTCGAAGGACTAACGCAGTAATGCAGAAGCCATGGACTTTATATAGTTCGGCATGGAATTTGATAAATGTTCGTGAGGGTGGCTGTGAGCCGCCTCCTGCAGGGTTACAAATTTCTTGAGTGTTGTGACGGCATGTGGTCCAGATAATGTAATTTAACTTTCAAATTGCGAAAAGATTGGGATTTATTTGATATGTTTGTTAGTTGGAACATATGATTTGAATATAAATGGATTGAGACCGGCATGAAACGTTTCTAACATTTTTCAAAATAAACGATAAATTAGAAATTTCCGATTTTCTTATTTTGTTTGCAAAAAGAAACTAAAATTTCTATATTATCGTAGAGATTTTTTTGATTCCTAAAAATGGAATCGCAAACCAGGGACGGCACTAGGGCCGGCTACCTAGGCTCCTACCTAAGCCGGTAACCTTAGTAAGCAGCAAATGGACTAAAAAATTAACTAATTGATGAAGAAAATGATTATTCCAAGACTCATTTGAAAACTTATAAAAAATTAATATGCTTTTAGTATATTTTTTTAAGACCGACCAGAAAATATACACTTTCTGGACAATTTTTCGTCCAGAAAGTAACGGTTTGGCGGTCTAGACCAGAAAGTAGACTCTAGGGACCGGTAAAAATAGTTTTTTTTTACTACTAACATGAGAAATCACCATTATTTACTCCATTCCTCTAATGAGAAGTAATATTTCTCTCCCTAGGTAAATAATGATAATAAAAAAAAACCTAGGTAAATAATGAAACTAAATTTCATTAGTTTCATTTTGTTAATTTGACAACTAAACTCCCAGACTACTTGATATTTTGAAATATTTGAAAAATAAGTAGGAAATAACTAAAGCTGGGTTTATTAAAATCTAATCAAATCAAATATGATAATATATATCAGTGTTAATAGTAAAAATATATATTAACTAGGAAATTCAACACCGGCTTTAAAAATTATTAATTAATAACAATAAATCCATGTCATTAAAATATCAAAAATGCAATGGGATATTTCCTAGAATCATACCAAAATTTGACACATGCCAAATTTTTACATAAATAAAGCCAGTCTGATTAGAAACACGCTCCAGTCTGCTTGATATTTCGAAATATTTAACAAATTGTTAGGAAATTACTTATGTCAAAATTAAAATTGCTAATACATTAATGTTAGTAGTAAAAAAAATTCTATATATACCTCGGCTGAGAAAGCTATTATTTACCTCGCACATTATATCCCTCGGCGCTACGCGCCTCAGGATATAAAAGTGCTCGGTAAATAATAGCTCACTTCTCACCCTAGGTATATAATGTACTATTACCGGTCCCTCTTTTTCAATTTTTTCAATCGCTGTTTGATAATCCAGGCTGCCTTGCAATTTATTGTCAAGTGACAGTTCGTTGATTTTTAATTTATTGTTTATGTCAAACTTGATTTGTGAATTTTCAAATTTACAAATAATATAGATTGAGATGCTGAAAATGAAATTCCACAAGATATTTTAGAAACAGCGAAGAAAGCTATTTACGATTTATTACCAATAAAATCAAAAACCCGCTATGAAAAGACGATTCGTTTAAAAATTGGTGCCGAGAAAAAAAAGTAAAAAATGTAAACTGGCCCCTTCATCATTATGGAGCCTATATTCCATGCTGAAATCTACGATGACTGTAAAAGATAATGTAAATATCAACAATTTTTTCAAATTAATAGCGTTTATTAAAAAGAAATCGGTTGGTCATATGGCAAAGAAATCTAAGATTATGTCAAGAGAACAAATCGAAACATTTCTAAACAATGCTCCCGATATCGAATATCTTGCTTAAGGTAAGTTAAAATCAAAGAAACGAAGTAAAAACTGATTACAATAAATTTTATTTCTATTCTAGGTGCTTTTAATTATGGGTTCCGCAGGTGCATGTCGCCGCGAAGAACTCATTAATATGACACTAAATGATATCGAGGATAAGGAAACAATGTTGATAGTTAAAATCCCCATAACCAAAACGAATACCACCAGAACGTTTATTGTATATTCCCAAAGAGATTTGCAACTTTATAGGAATTATTTGCAAATGAGGCCACCGCATACCAACCATAAACGACTATTTATTTTTTTTTTAAATGGGAAGTGTTCAACCCAAGCAGTAGGTTTGCATTCTGTGGGAAAAGCCCCTAGCAAAATCGCCTCCTATCTTAAATTGGAAAATCCAAGTGAATTCACAGGTCACGGCTTTCGTCGAAGCTCAGCGACTCTGCTAGTAGATGGAGGGGGTGATCTTATAAATTTAATATGGCACGGAGGATGGAAATCCTCAACCGTAGCAGAAGGTTAGCTTGAAAATTTAATGAAAAACAAAATTGATATAGCAAACAAAATCCATGCGGGATGTTCCACAAACAATATGCAGCAAACTAATTTTGTTAGTACCGCTACAAAAAACATAACAATTCTCAGTATTTCAGACACATCTTCCCTTCAGGTATTTAGTGTTCACAATTGTACATTTAACATAAATATTCAAAAATAATGTATTTGGCCAATTTAGGCATTATCTAGTTTCTGTTTAGTTGTATGTAGTATTTGTTGATTATTACTTAATTATAACTATAAAATAAAATAAATAAAATTAGTTTACATTAAAAAGTCGGTCTTAAAAAAAATATTGTACGTCACACGACCGGAAATTAGTGTTTTACAGGTCTCACCAAGCTACAATCTACTTTTCTCGACCTGTAAAACACTACTTTCCGGTCTTGTAACGTAAATTACTATTACGAACTTTTAAGTATAGGTAGCCACAATCCTTAAGCATAACAAAGTTGAGGAATGTAGTTTAAAAAAACACACGTTTGAAACATGAGTAAAGTTTTCGTGTATTTAAGATCAAATCTAAAAGCGAACCATACAGAGCTCACAAGTAAATAAACTTCCAATGGCTTAAAAATTTATAAAATAAAAAATTACCATCTTTTAATATTTAAATATATTTAAATTAATGGATACACATGCAAAGTGCTATGAAAGAATGTTTTACCATGTGTTTTAATGTGTCGGAACATATATGAGGTCTTGAAAAACCATTTATGTGACATGATTTTTACGCTACTATTATAAATGGAAAAGAAGCAGTTCGATTGTTTTATTTTGTAACGGTTGGACCCGTTATTTCGACACAATCACCTCTTACTCAAATGTCATTTGTCGTTTATGCCTTGTGTCAAATGTTTCCATTTTTAATTTAAGTATATCGAATAGATCAGATATATATTTTAATTCATCTTGGTCATCCGATGTACTGGATGATTTTTGTTTATTGTAGAATCCGTCTGATTTTCCAAGGTAAGTTTTAATATTGATATTTTGTTAAAAATATATATTTTGTACAAAAATTTCTTAAACAAATGTCAAGTTTTAAACATAACCTCAATATTAACAATGGATAACACATGTTGGTTTTATATAAAATTATATATAATTTTTTTGGAATAGGATATTATGCTTTACTATATTTAAATATATTAAATAAGATTTTTTTTCTTTTTTTATTAATTTTAGTCTCTGTGAAATTATTCATTTAATAGTTTTAAATTGTTCATTTAATAGCTAAAGCATTTTATCTAAATCTTGTTCAAATTTCCTATTTCATGTCTTAACATTTTAACCCTTTTTTAGCATAGCTATATCTAGACGGTTTTGGTTCAATCTGAAGACAGTTTTTTCTTTCATCTCTAGATATTTTATGGACTTATATCTAGACGTTTTGGTTTTGGTACAATTTGAAGACCATTGTTAGATTCATCTCTAGATGACGCCCAACGTGGGGCCTTTTTTGTAATTAGTAATCACGTTACAATTTATGCATTAATTGCCTTACATATTGCTTAAGGCGTGGTTTAGAACGTGCGATGTTCGTGAAATTTAAAAGCAACATGGAGCTTGTGTTGGCCCTTCTATTGAAAGAAGAAGCAATCATTCCGTTGTTAGTTTAAAGAGAACCTTATCATCATACCATGACAAGCAAAGAAATTCAGAAGGTACTTCTATCAATTTAATTTTAAGATATTTCATAGATAATGAACACAAATTCCACGCCTATTTTCGTTTAACCAGAAATCAAATTAACTTTGTTTTAATTGCTATGAGGACAGATAGATATTAAGAAAGCACCAACACACTACACTGGGTTTAGAACCCAATATCTCCAGAAGAAAAATTAGGAATATCACTAAGGTAAAAGCTTTGACATCCTCATCAGCCGCCTCAATAATGACAGTCACTACATAATAGCATATGCAGATGACCTGTTCATTCTGCAAACAGGAAATGTTGAAAACATACTCTACGAAAAAATGCAAGTAGCTCTCAAAATTATAGAACAGGTGAAGTATTTAGGTCTCACCTTTGACAGCAAGTTAACATGGAACTCGCATTTAGAAAACAGAGTCAAAAAAACATACTTTGCTTATAAAGAATGCCACCGAAACGTGGGGCGCACCTGGGATTTCTCCCCCAGAGTCGTCGCATGGACTTACACGGCTATCATAAGACCTATGTTAACATACGGTGTAGTTGTCTGGGTACCAAAAACCCAAAAATTAACAGCTATCCGTAAACTACAACAAATTCAAAGAACAGCATATCTCAACATAACAGGAGCCATGAAAACAGCACCCACCAGAACCATGGAAGTCATTCTTAGCCTTACTCCTTTGATATTTACAACAATGACACGCCTTCGCACAGTTGGAATAGAACCTGATGTACGATCTGGTGAGGCGAGACGTGGTTTTTGGCAGAAGGCGCTCGATACGCTTATGCATTAATAGCCATTACATGAAAGTTGCATACACTATTTCTTCTATGACCAAGAAACTATTTCTATTCAACAACATTGCTTTATTTTTTAATTTTTTAATACTTTTTATACAAACAATAAGAAATAAAATATGAAAGAAATATAAGTTCTTCGACTTAATTTTTATTCCAACACAATAACCAATATAATAACTATAATCTCAATT